CCGGGGGGGGGGGGGAAGCAGGCAGAGACTGCCGCGGGAGAACGGTGACGCTTTCGGTGCGACTTGGGCTCCAGCTTCTAGACGAGCTCGAACGCCGGAACCGTCGCGTTGCGGGCGCGGGGCGGCCCGGGCAGATAAAGCTGGGGACAGGTTTACGCTTGCGCGCTGCCGCGGGTCGGGGCTCGCGTGTGGCGCCAAGATGGCAGCGTTCTCCGGTACGTGGGACTGGGCCGGGCAGGGCCGGGGCGGAGGAGGAGCGGGGGAAAGGAGTGAGGAGTGCAGATTAGTGGGGTGGGGGGTGTCTCGCCGTCTGGCTGCAATAACGCGGGCACATAGGGGTCCCTCGGGAGCAGCCCGAGCGCGGGACCTGCTGGGATATCTGCTGGCGCGAGGCCCCCCGAGCGGTGACGTGGAGGCGCCCCTCCCCCGCGGCCCTGTGTGACAAGGTGCCCGCAGCTGTTCCTTCCGCCTCGGGCGGCTCCCGAGCACTTGCTGACGCGGGTCGGGCCGTTTCAGGGGCTCTGGGAAGGGCTTTCGTAAGCCCCATCCTCGCCCCGGGGAGATGGCCAGACTGTTTTTTTTTCCAACCTTCTCCGCACTTTGGGGTTGTTGTGTAGTTCAGGCAGCGGCGGGCACAGGGCAGGAGTGGCCGGCTGTTGCCGCAGCTCCTTGTCCCAGCGCCTGCCCTGTCCTGCCCTGCGTGCAGCAGGGGCAGTGGGACTAGGGACGCCAACTTTGACTGAAGTTATTCCGGGAGATTGGTCCCCCCCGTCCCCCCCCCCCCAACCTATTATATTATTTTCTTAAAATATTCTATTAAAATCTGCTGGATTGCTTTCAATATCACCAGGAAATGGATGCAGATTCCAGCCAGATCATGGATTCTGATATTGGAAAAGGCTTAGTGTGTCTGTCCCTAACGCTAAATTTGCACTCTGATTGGCTACCTCAGCAGCCAATTGGAGTGCCCTGGACAGAGACGCACATGGCAGAGCGCCAACATGACAGCAGGGACTGGAGTGCCACCATGACAGAGCAGTGGAGGCAAGGCCCCCGCTGCTCCTTAGAGGCAGAGGAGGTAGGGAGTGCTGGCTACGCCCCACCTTACATAGTAGAGTACTGCCATAACAGCAGGGATGGGCTGAAGCTAGTGGACAGGCCAGCAGCACTGGCCGTGGCTCCCCTGCCCTGCTGCTTGGAGCCAGGGGCTAGAGCTCCCTCCCTCCTCCCAAACAACAGCTGGTAGGGAGGGTGAGGTGGTGGGGGAGAGAGAGAGGGAGGGGAGCCGGGTGACCACTGGCTGTGCCCTGCTGCAACTACCACTGCAGTCACAGGCCTGGCCTGAAGCAGTGGGTGGGGAGTAGTCCTGGCCCCGGTCCCCACTCGAGGCAGGGGGAAGGGACTGGAAGTAGGCCTCTGTCCCTGCCCCCCTTCCCTCCTTATTTTTTGACAGGCTAGTTCATATATAGTAAGGCTGGAAGGGACCTTGGAAAATCATCAGGTCCAGCCCCTTGCACCAAGCAGGAAAGAGAGCTGGGGTCAGGTGACCCCAGCCAGGTGCCTGTCTAGTCTCCTCTTGAAGATTTCCAGAGTAGGTGATTGTACCACCTCTGGAGGTAGCTTATTCCACAGTCTGGACATGCTAGTTGTGAAGTAGTTTTTCTTAATGTTGAGCCTGAAACAGTATTCTTGGAGTTTGTGACCGTTACTCCTAGTTTTCCCCAAGGGTGTCCTGGTGAATAGTTGTTCGCTGAGCCCTTGATGTACGCCTCTGCTGTAGTAGTAATTTTCTACCAAGTCCCCTCTCAGCCTTCTTTTTTCAGGCTGAAGAGTCCCAGATCCCTCAGGATTTTCTCATATGCCAATCAGGGAGGGTTGGCAACCCTAGGTGAAACACAGGCCTGTGCATGGGCAGGGTAACAGGAGCTCTCTGCCGAGGCGTGCAGCTCACCAGCAGCACAAATTGTGTGCTGCCACTCCTCACAGTTTTAGGTCTTTAGGTCCCATATCTAGAGAAGAGGTCAGAGAGCTTTCTCCTGTGTTGTGAGTGTTTTGGGGTATCCTAGGTCGTGGTGACTTCTGGGTCACAAAGAAATGGCTGCAGTGTTAGTCAAAGAATCAAATGAAAATAAGCAAGAAGCTTCAAATGTACATGTGTTCAGTTGATAGATTAGCTGGAAGAAACCATTAAGAAGAGACCTACCCGTGGTGCTGTGAGGCTACTCTTATTCTAGAGATTGCCCCGTTGGAGCTGGATGAGATAGTAGTACTAACTCGTTACACTGACTGTACGCATTGCAGTACCGCATGCTTATGTGGTTGCTTGGGTCCTGCATGGTAGAATCAGGGAAATCCATTGTCAAACCTCTTAGTAAAACTGTGCAGTCTTCCCTGACACAACACAAGGACATAATGCCCTAACCTGCCACAGGTAAAGCAGGGGACCATGGTGGCCAGTGTCCTGCTGCTGTCAAGGTTTTTAATGCACGTTCAAGATCCCAGGAAGAGGGCTGTGCCCCTCTGCTGTAGAGGAAGGCAAAAAAAAATAAAATCCGTGTAGTCAATACCAAGCTAACAGTAGGACCAGGGGTTGGCAAAATATAGCATGCAGGGTGGATCCGGCCCCAGTAGTTCCCTGGGTCCTGCCCAGCCCAGGCCAGGATGTCCCACGGTGCTAGACATGTCTGCTGAGATCAGAAGGAGCATCGGTGCCCAACGCAGGCTGCAGGGCAGGACCTGATGCTGGGCACCTCTGGACAGGAGCCCAGCAGCAACTGGCTGCGTTCTCAGAGCTGCTGCTCCCAATCACCCCTTCTGCCTGGCGTCTCTGCTACAGCCCCCATTGTGTGGCTCCCACACAGCATTTGCCCCTCGATGTAATGCGCAGGGCCCTGCCTAGCCTGCATTCTCCCTCCCTGCAGCCCAGGCTCTCCACTGCTCCCCACTTTGGTTGTGGCTTTGCCACCTACCAAGCCCGAACCCACTGCCAAGCTCCTGGTTCTACTTGGCCCTTTATCATCCCCAGTGCAGAGCTATGATCCACTGCCTGCACACTCCTGCCTGCAGAACCAGCACCCGTCACAGGGGCATGCAGGTAGGAGCGTGCGGGATCGTGGCTCTGTCTTGAGCTCCAGCTGGGATGGCGGCACAGATGGGCAGGGACGAGGGCGGGTACACAGGGCCGAGGCTGGGATCCCAGACTAAGTAGTGGCAGCCTGTGGAACCCAAACAGTAAGCAGTGATTTCATGGCTGGTGGGACCGGGCTTCAGGGGCTGAAGGACCCCAGAGCATGCAGAATGCAAGGGGTTCCTGCCAGCTCTGCAATCCCAGAGGGGGCTTGGCTCTTTCTGCACACACCCTGACTCCTGACATTCGTTGGAGCCAAGCTTTAGCCCATCCTGAACAGTGCCTGGAGAGATACCTAAGCAGATGCCATTTTCAGCCCCCAGGCATGACTGGAAGGAGCCAGGGATGGTAACAAAAGGGCTAAGTGGAAGCAGAAGCTTGGCAGTGGGTCAGGGTTTGGGAGACGCTAGAGCCACCACCAAGGTAGGGCGCAGCGGGGGGACTGGGCCTCAGGGAGACAGTGCGGGCTGGGCAGGGATGTGCAGGTCACATTAGGCGGGAAGTGCCAGGTGGGAGCTGCACAGTGGGGGCCATGCTGGAGACTGCACATTGGAGTCAATTGGGAGAAGCAGCTCCATGAATGCAGCCGGTTGTTGCTGGGTGCCTGTCCTGCAATCTTGGGGTCTGTGTGGCGATTGGCCTGGGCCCGTATTGGGGGGACTAGCGTCCAGCCAGGAGGACGGAATGACGCCACTTAAGGATTTTGGTTAGCTGTTGCTGCCAAGGCAGGGGTGCTGTGGATGGGAATTCTGACTGAGCACACAGCAGCTCACCAAAACTCCCTATGTGGCTTGCAGGCCCAAATAATTGCCCACCCCTGGTAAGACCAATCTGAACAGTCCTTCCTGACCTGAAGTCTGGTGATCTGTTAGAACCTGAGTGGAGGGGCAAGACCCTCTAGGTAGGAACAGCCTCTGAGTTTAAGTTTCTCAGGCACAGCCAACACCCAGTGCTTTTAAGGAAGGCTTAAAAAATATTCCTAACACGTGTAGTAGCATGGGGAAAGGAAGATCTATTCCCTTTTCTTTATGGCAGCCATTCAGGTATTTGAAGGCTGCTATCATGTCTCCATTAAGCACTTTTTCTTCAAGCTGAACGTGCCTATTTTCTTCAGTCTCTCCTCAGATGATATGCCTTTCAGGCCCTTTCTTGATCATTCTCATTGCCTGCCTCTGGACCCCCTCTAACTTCTTCATATACTTCTTAAAATGTGGACCACAAAACTGCACACAATACTCTAGACAAGGCCTAACCAGTGCAGAGTGGAGAGGCACTCTCACTACTTCTGTCTTGCACTTAATGCTTTCATTGACGCATCCCAAAGCTATATTTGCCTTTTGCGTAGCTGCATCACACTGCAGATTCATAGCGCGTATGTGCTCCACCAAGACTCTTCTCGTAAGTGCTGCCATCCAGCCAGGTGTCACCCATTTTGTATTTTTATTTTTTGATTATTATTCCCGAAGTGTAGCACCCTGCACTTGTCAGCATTGAACTTCATCCTGTTGGCTTTAGCCCATTTTGCCGGTCTGTCAGGATCTTTCTGGATTGTGCTTCCATCCACCAGTGTCTTCACAATCCTTTCCAGTTTCATTTATCTCCAAGTTCTTTAAGCCTGAATATATCGCATACTGAATTGAAGTAACTGATAGACTTAGTTATTTTGTGCCAGTAGCATGGAAGTATAAGCAAAAGTAGAAGCTGAGGGTATTTTATTTAACTCTAGGATACAAGACACAAGAATTGTTTCTTTTTGAGCACTAAAAAGCATGAGAACTGTATTATCCCTTCTGATGACCTAAATCTAAGAAGCTGTTGCGGTAGCTTTGGGAAATACTCTCTTATTCAAATATCACTGCACAATGGTGTTAAGCCTAGTTAGAGATAGGTAGTATTTAAAATATAGGCCGCATTGAGAGGAGGGAGCATTTGGGGCTGTTTGAACATCAAAGTTGGTGTAGCGCAAGGTCTGATTATCCTTAGTTTCAGTGTAGAGAACTCTTACCTGCTGGTTTTCAGTCTTAGAAAGTTTAAGTGTTTGTCTACAGGATTTGGCCTAGGGCAGCTCTCTGCATTGTGGACCAGGAGCCGAAATGTCATGCTGACAGCATAATACAATCAGCTGGCTTGGTTAGGGTCCTGGCTCCCATTTCCGCTGCTGAGCAATAGAAGCAAATGCTGCAGCTGGCAAAGGGAAGAGAGCTTAATTCATCCATCAATTTACAATATTAATATGACAGTATTCTTCAGAGCATTTATGTTTGTGCAAGCTGTGATTTCTGGTTCCTAACAGCAGAGCTGAATTCTTTGAAATCCTCTGTAGCAAGCTAGAAGGGACTGAAAGCTGTAGTAAAGAATCTCTTTCAGTTGGCTATTTGGTGTTTGTAAACTGACTGTAACTGTGTCTTTGAGTTTGTGATGAGGAGAGTTAGGAGGTAAAAGGAACAGAGTAAAGACTGTGTGTTAGGGAAACTTTTGCTTTATGTGGATGGGCTTATAAAACTGCTTGGGATGGAAGACTGAATACAGCACTTATTTTCACTAACTCAGTGCCCTGTAAACATCTGTATGCTTTAGGTATTCTGTAGAAGCAGCACTCCTAGTCTGGCATCCTGGCATTTCCAGTGCCTGCCAGAGTGAGACTGGGGATTCTTGTATGATGTACTGCTGATTTTAATCTTTTCCTTTTCCTCTATAGGGAACAAGGAAGCCTTTTTCTTTTTTTCTTGAGATGCTTTATTGGACTAAGTGTCTGAATTTTCTATACGGTTAGTCCAATAAATCAAAAGAATCCTCTTGGTCTTCTCCTAGTCCTTTCACCATCATGGCTATAACAACACTCACATCAGCCCTCCACCCATACTTGTTCTCTTAGGAAATGTAATTAAATGTCTGTTGTGGATAAAATTAACATTTTAGGAGTAGGGAGAGCTGAACTCTGCATTTCAATATGCAGTTTCATTGGATGTGCAAATACGTCTCCGTCACTGGGAAGAATCTGAGCAGTTGGTGCTCATACTCCTACCATGCTGTTCATTTACCTGACTCCTCTTCTGTTGTTATGTCTGCATTCACCAGAAGCTATCAATGTAGAGAAAAAGAACAGACAGACAAAAATGTACCCATAAAATGTTTTGTTTTGCAACCAACTGGGGAGCTGGCATTTAGAAACAATAATTTTAAACTGTGTTGAGGTTTCTAATATATATTTGTTTGTTTTCTTACAGAGATGGGTGTTATGCCAGAAATAGCTCAAGCTGTAGAAGAGATGGACTGGCTGTAAGTATAAGCACTTAAGGGACATGTCTATGTGTGCAGTTAATGGGAAGCAATAAACTCCAGAGCTTATTGCTCCCAGGCATGCCATTTAAATGTGTGCCCGGAACTGCAGCATGTTGAGCCAGGTTGGAGGCCTGGGGGTCAGTTTGCCAACCTGGGACTGTTTCCCTCCCGGCCCCCTTCCCAGCTCAACAATGTGTTGTGGAGGGGCTGGCTGGGGCATGAGGGGGGTCCCGTGCAGGGGTAGCTGACAGGGAGGCCCTGCACTGAAGCACCCTTGTGCCCCAGCCAGCCAGGCCAGTGTCTATGAATGTGCTGCTGCCAAGTTTTAAAAAAAAAAAAAAAAAAACCCCAAAACCTCTATGGCAGGACAGTACTTGTATTTACAAGTACTATCCTGCTTCGGAGTTGATTAGTTTACTGCAGCTTAACAGGGACTCATGTATAGACATGTAACATTTACTGCAGAGCTAATTAGCTACCCCACAGTAAAAATCTCATGTAGATGTGCCTGAGTTAAGGTTTTCTGTTAACTTTTTTTCCCTTACGTATTAATGTATAACTCAACTTTCCAAAATACCAGTTTCTGTATTTGTTTGAAAGCAGAGATGCATATCCAGCCCTTTATCCATGGTAAGACTTAACTCCTTACCATGCATGACTGAAAAAGCCAACAAATAAGTGTAGACCTAGTCAAGTCTGGAAATTCAAAGCAAGATTTTGATTGTAGCTTGTATCTTGGTTCCTGGTCTCTAAAAAGCTCTGTGCGCTCAGCTTCATTGAGTTTATGATCAGCTTCTTGAACCAGTAGTATGATTTAACCACTACAGAAAGTGGTTTCCAAGCTGTAGTTTGTGAATTTCTGATGTTTCATAGAGTATTTTGTGGATTGTCTCATTCTGCTGCCAAAAAGTTGTCTGGTTTCATGAGTTTGGCTTGTCCCTGCTTCCCAATGCTAATTGAGTTATCCAGAACTGAACTGATCAGTTAAATACTTCATTTCAACATCTGCTTTATATCAAAGTTAAGAATGCTATCTGTAGAGATCCCAGAGAATACATCTCCTGAATACATTTCTTGCCTATATAAAAAGAAATGCATTCATTTGTTCATTTGGTATGTATGCTTCGGGATATTGGCTAAACTGTTGTTATGACCTCCGTTTACTTTAAATAGTAATTCAGAATTCTGTCACATACAATAGACTAGCTCTTTAGCCTATGGCATTGTTTGAGTTTTAATCTAAAGTGTTGTTTTCCTTTGCTAGTCTTCCCACAGATATTCAAGCTGAGTCTATCCCCTTAATTCTAGGAGGTGGCGATGTCCTTATGGTACGTATGCTAATAGTTATTGTTTAAGACGTATGGGCTTTGTTTCTGACATTTTAAATTAAGCGTTCACAAATTAGGTTGTTCAAGCCTTAGTTCGGAGCAGGTTTTGTGAAATTTTAGTCACTGCACTTGTAACTGTTTCCAGAATGTACTATACAAGAGTGTTTTACTGAAACAAGATGTAACTGCCTTGAATTTATTAATGCATTGGTCTATTTTTATTATAAATCAATAATGATATACTATAAATTAATTATTACAGTCTTGGAACCAAGAGTTCTAGTTGTTTGTATGTCTTTTTATCTCAGTCCTCACACTTAATGTTAAACAGGTAAGGGCCAGTTACATCATTAGTTATGTTGGCTTTTTATTGTCAAATGGGCATCAAAGATACAGGTTTGTACTGTATGAGTTCTTAGAAACCTAAAGAAAAAATAAAAATAACTAATATTGCAGTTGATTTCTAATACACCTATATTCTCTTTCTCTGGGGTTTCCTCTTGCAAGTGTTCAAATTGACCTTTTAAATTAGTCGAGAGCAAGATTGTAAATTGTTTTAAATGTGTACAACTTTAAATGATTTGGAGGAGTAAGTTCTCATTTAGATAGCAAGATAGCACAGTTATTTCTAGTAAGTTAAATTGTTTTTTACAGTTCATCCATGTGGTCCCCTCTGAATGGCTATGATTTACAAATCTACTGTAGTTTTCATCCCTTAGAACTCCAGAACATCCCATGAACTACATTCAGATGGTACATTAATAATGAAAAGTTGCCACCTCTGGTGGAGAGTGGAAGATGAACAAAAAAAAATATTCAATGTGCTGGGTTAAAGTGGCAGGAAAAAATACAGCAATAATCAAGCATCTTCTGATGAAGGAATCTTTCTATTGAATATTGCCCCTCAGCCTGGAGCTTTCTCAGCTGCACATTGCGGTTATGTTTAGTTTCTATCCCAGTGGGTCTGCACAGCAGTGAGCAGTGCCAAGCTGTACCTTGTACATCACCAAGGAAAGCTGGAACTGACTTCCATTCAGGCCCAGTGGCTGATGTGTAGGGAAACCAGTTCATCCAGGTTTGTCTATATGGATGCAACCCAGAGAACTGAAAACATTCAAATGGAAAAGAAAAAGGATGAGATAATCACAGAACCCAAAAAACTTAGGAGAACTGCAAGGGATTCACAGACATCACAGCCAGAATACAGTTTTAGGCCAAGTTTTTTAACTGAAGGACCAGACAATAAAGGAGAAAACTAACTGAACAAAAGGAAGAGTGATGATAAGGTACAGAGGAAATTCAGATCACATTTGTAAATTATTTAAAATTGATGCAACTTTCAAATTAACACACTGAAACATTTAAAGTATGTAAATGAGGCCTTACCTGGCTATCTTGCAAAGTGAGTTGCTTGTGCTCTTCATCCTTGCAATCCTTTATGGATAGCTATAGCAGTGCTATTTTATTGACCTGCTGTAGGCAGATATAGTAAAGGCAAAAGTAAAATTTAAAGTATGGTGGAATTTTAAATGTTGCTCTTTAACTGCTCTAATTTAAATTCTAAAATATGTTTTAATTTGTTTCCAACATAGGCTGCAGAAACAGGGAGTGGAAAGACTGGTGTAAGTATTGTATTTAATTAATGTATTAAAAACAAGAAGGGGAAGAGGGTCTGAATGGACGCAGTTCTGATGATAAATACAATGGCTTACTCCAAACATCTGATTCTAAAACATCTCATAACATAAAATATAAGTATAAAAATGTGGAAATAAAATAACTTTGTTTTAGGCTTTCAGCATTCCAGTTATCCAGATTGTTTATGAAACACTGAAGGACCAGCAAGAAGGCAAGAAGGGAAAAGCAACCATCAAAACTGGTGGGGCTGGTAAGTCTTTGTACTTAAGGTTGTAATTTTTCCTAAAATTTAGGAATGCCATTAGACTGACGTACAAAACTTGGAACTGAACATTTAAAAAAATCTTTAACATAATATTGCTTCAGTTTTAAATAGATTTTGGATTTTAAATGCTTATGAAAAGGGATGTTTATACAGTATGTGGATATTTAAAGAGGTGATTGGAGCTGTTGCAGTAGCTTTCAGATTCCAGTTAAAATTGGAGTCTGTTGTATGGTGATGCTTTTGCATGACATCTAATGCAGAGATGCTTTAATCAGCTGCATGTGTGTTAGCTTTGGAAAGAAAAGCAGTATAGTTATACTAGGGACCTAAAGTCCCTTCTAGACATGCCCTTAATATAGGCAATGTACCTCTTTGCCTTAGAATTGTTTCTGTATATTGGTATGATTAACTTAAAAGGCTGAAAATCTTGGTTTTTATAGGTTTCAGGAATACGCAACTATAGGTACGGGCATGCATACATTTGGAGCCATTTTAAAAGGGGAATTTTTCAATAGGGAGCTGCTGATTGGGATTGCACAGTGGCTCTTCAATTTTAACAGTTATGTGCATAGGCCAGGAGAAATACAGATGGAGAAAAACTGTTCCAACTTGAACCCTGGATAAAGCAGTATTAAAGTGAAGCTTATTGGATACATAAAATATTGTTCCTAGCTTGTGCATACACGATTGTTAGAATGGAACAGCTGGTGCACATTTTGAAGAAAGAGTTCCCTCTTCCATTTTGAAATAGCTCCACATGGATGTGTGCGTCTCCATGTTGTTGTCCTCTGAAGGATGCATTAAAATAAATAGTATTCTAGTCAATAGCTTTTTAATAGATATTCAGTACAAATCGTCTCCAAACAAATACAAATTATATAAGAGTAATCATTGCGAATGTCTTGCTCTCAAAATATCTCGAACACTTGTATTTTCCTTAATACTAAACTTATCTAGTGTCATCATGTACCATAGACTGTACAGCCCCTAGTTGCTTGAAATGTAATTTGATACAAAATCCAGAACATTATGTTCTAGATGTCCTCTGAAGGCTTACTCATGTTCCCAGCTTTAAAGTTACCCTTATATCTGAAATTAGGCCTGCCAGCTTAAGACCTCAGTCTTGAAACCTTTCATTTCCTACAACATGTATCCAAAATATTTATCATATTACATGTTGCTTGCAACTCATGTGGATTCTTAACATCAGCTGTTCTTATTTTATTGGTTTAATGTCCTTTTCCTGCTATCTCTTTTAACTAGTGCTCAACAAATGGCAAATGAACCCATATGATAGAGGTTCAGCTTTTGGTAAGTTATCTTAAAACTGTTATGTGAATAATAAATTTGAATCTTTATAATGTAATGTGTAAATATAGGGGCTTAGTTCTGAGTACTGTTCAACAGTGTGGACTACTTACATGAGAGATTTGTAGGGTCTTAACCAAAGTCTCATCCAGTCTTGGCACTGGGATGAAAATGCCATCTGTGTGTATGTGGCTTATTTATTGAGAACTATTTGTTCTCAATACAAGTTTTTTGTAAATACGTGGAAGAGCATCAGTTTTGCACAGTTAGGCCCCTGGCAGACATTACATTTATCACCCTATTAATGAGTTGAGTGATGAATTTTGACATAAATTACTTGAATGTATGTTCTCACCAAATGAAAATGGCAAATGAGCTGCAAAAGTGGCAAAATAACCTCAAAGAGATTATTTCTTAAATGTAGAATGTCTTTGTAGCTCATTTATATAGTGCTTCAGTTTCAGTTATGGCATATTACACATCAGGTGGTATGGCTTCCTTAGGTTCTCCAGTATCCCGGGATACACTGCTTCATCTTACCACCCCTCACCAGGGTTGTCAAACACAACTTAAAGCTGCCTGTAGACAGCAGCAGAGAGTGGGGCATGTTCTTCACTCTGGTGAAATCAACAAATGATGCAGCCCTGGCTGCTGTCACCAGTCAGGGGCTGAAATCACAGTGCCTGCAGTCCCAATAATAGGTTGACAGCCTGAAGGTACTGTGGTATTAACTTGCTTTATATATTGCATTTTTTACATAAGGTACAATGGCTTTATATTCTAGTATTTACCTCCCCTAGAGATTATGCCAGATATTGGTTTGATATAACTTTAAACTGATCTCTGTGTTCTTAAAGCCATGCTTAACATGGAATGCTTTTGAAAAAAGGACTATGACAGAATTCTGTATGCCTAGGAACACATTGTTGGTATAAACAGTGTTTCCAGCAGAATTCTTCTAGAAAGGAGTGTTAACAAATATTTAATCTTGCTTTTCTATAAATGTTTGTGCAAAATTGGATGAACTTGCAATTAGACATGCACTAATACATTGGTCTGTTATTGGATCAGTACTGATATAAAGCAAACTGGCTGTATCAGATATCGGCCTGATGGGGCTGATAATTTGGCCAATAAATGCCCGTGCTGCATGCAACTGCAGCACAGTACTCAGACAGCAAGGAGCAAAGCCAGCAGTGTGGAGAGCTGCCTCCAGCTGGTACATCGGGTGTGGAGGGGAGGTGGGGAGCAGATCAACACCCCCTGCAGTGAGGGAGGGGGTGGAGCTGCGGCTCTTAGTGGGGAGGGAGGTGGCTTCTGCCTCTGCTTGCACCCCGGGGGGTCAGGGCAGGCTGCAGTCGCAGTGTTAGCCACGGCTCTTTTTGGCGGGAGCTGGGCTCAGGGTGGGCGCCAGTGGCACTGGGAGGATGCTGCATCCACCCCAGATTTCACCGCCACACCGCTGTCAGTGCCACAGCCACCCAGTGCAGCCCTGGCTGTTCCTGGCACATGGGTGGGGGTGGAGCATTAAGCTGGGGCTGCACTGGATTGCTGGCAGCAGTGCTGGGAGTGGAGCAGCGGTGAAACTTGGGGTGGATGTAGCATCCTCCCAGCGCCACCAGTGCCGCCTCTGAGTCCCAGCTGCAGCCTGTCCTGTCCTGCACAGATCTGGGGGACACCCCCCCCCATGCCCTCCTGGGGCGCAAACAGTAGTGGGAGATGCCCCTCCCATAAGCTGTGGCTCCAGCCACCTTCCTACCCCACCTGTGCAGTGCCTGTCCCCTCCCTCACCACAGGGGATGTTGATTTGCACCACACTGGACTTACCAGCTGGAGGCAGCTGCATCAGAAATTGGATCTATATCAGCTGATATGCTTCCTTAAATATCAGCTATCGGTATCAGCCCCAAAAATTTGTATCGGTACACCCCTACTTGCAGTGAAACCTTTCCAAAGATGCAGTTTTTCTAAGAATATTGTCATTGTTAGTTATTTTTCTTCCACATCCTTGAAGCTGTATGCGTACTTGTACCTTTCCAGATCTGCACTCCATTGTGCGAAGTGGTGGTAAACTCTGCTTATTTTAAATGTCATTAGAAGAGAAATCTAGTTCAAATACTGGAGGAACAGACATTAAGTATGCAATCATAAAAAAAGTAAGGCTGGAAGGATGCTCAGAGTATCATTTAGCCAGCCCCCTACACAAGGCAGGTTCATTCCTGTCTAAACCATCCTAGACAAATTTTGTCTAATCTCTACTTAAACTTTTCAAATAACGCTCTCTCTCAACTAGCAGGCACAGTGCCCAAAACATCAATAATGACTTAACTTGCCACAGGTAAAAGCAGGGGAGCAAGGGCATCATCGGTGTCCTGCCACTGCAAAGGCAAAAAGGAGTGTTAAAATATGCTGATGAGATTTGAGAAAGAGGACCTCACTGCATTGGAGCTTTGCTTCTTCCTCCAGCTGCTGAACTGCCCTCCCCAGTTTTCACCTGCTCTGGGCTGAAGAGTTCTTCTCAATGGTTATTCACCTTTTATTTGGTAGTAACAAAGGATGAAATTGGATTCAAACTGGGTCAGAATTTTTACAGGTACAATATTAAGATGCGCATTTTTTGATGACTACCCTTAAAACATTTTGTCTTGTTCAGCAATTGGTTCTGATGGTCTCTGTTGCCAAAGTAGAGAAGTAAAGGAATGGCATGGGTGCAGAGCAACCAGAGGAGTGACTAAAGGTAAGCATAACATTCTAATTAATATGTTTTAGAAAAGTTTAACTTTCTGACATAGGTAATTGACTTTGTCAACCTTGTTTTTCTGTTGTTAGTTTTAACTTGTCTATAGTCAGAAAAGTCTTTGAGCAGAAGTTAACTTTTTATATATTTTTGTTTTTTTAAACTCTTTTAAAAAAGGAAAAACTTTATTTTCCCTCTTCAAATTAACCAAATTTAACCATTTTAACTGAGCTTGAATCAGAATGTTTCATATGTACTTACTCTTAATTCTTTTAGGAAAATACTATTACGAAGTATCCTGTCACGATCAGGGCTTGTGCAGAATTGGTTTCTCCACCATGCAGGCTTCATTAGATTTAGGTGAGTTAACTCCTAATAAGAAAACTCGGACACCCAGCTGGCCTGCAGCTATGGAGGACTGCTACAGTCTTGCTGCAGGCTTGCAAACAGGAAGGCTGCCTGAGGAGTAAACTCTGCTCCTCTGTTTTCATTTCAGTAAGGGGCTAGGAGTGTTTAATGCAAATGAGCTAAGACCAGAAACAAAGCATTGTTCTGCTATCTAAGGCATGGTGTTAGAGTAGAAGAAGACTCTAAAGATTGTGTGGGATTGAGTATTGCATGGTGTGATAGTAATACAACAGTTTTGAGAGAGACACAGTATAGCCATTGGTAAATGGAAAAGTATGAACTATGACCTTCAACCCAGATTAAAACTGTTTATGTTGCTTTGATTCTAGGCACTGACAAATATGGCTTTGGGTTTGGTGGAACTGGAAAGAAGTCTCATAACAAACAGTTTGACAGTTATGGTGAGGTGAGTTTCAGTTGCTTATTGCAGGGGCTTTCAAACTTTTTTTTAACAAGTGTACCCTTCCTGCCTCGAAGTTTCAGCTCATGTACCCCTTTTATATTAAAAATTATTTGGGGGAGCTGAGCACACGCGTACGCTGCCCCCAGCAGGTAAGTCTGGGGAAGGAGAAAGGGCTGTGGGGTGGTGGGGGGAGGTAGATTGAGGCCCCCACAGTGAGGGACAGAGCGGAGCACAGATGGGGGCTGGGGTGAATGGGGCCCTGGCCGGGCTGGGTCATGGAACAATGGGAGCCTGGGCGGCTCGTCCAAGGGCGCAGGGGGACTCCAGCTGCTGTGCACACCCCGACAGGCCCAGAGGGCGCATGGCCACCTGATCTGTGTGTGGGGCAGAGGCAGTTGCCACTGCATGCTGGGCTTTGTTGCTGCAGCTGCCCCAGGAGCAGTGTAATGGCTGTGCAGCGCCCCCTGCTTGCCCAGCTGTGGACTCGTGACATCGCACCAGTCCGAGGGCAACTACGGCAGTGCACAAAGCCCAGCGCACAGTGCCCCCCCAGGCCTCCACTGGGGTGTGTGCAGCAGCAGGAACACCCTCCCACCCCCTCCAGTACTTCCTACAATCTTTTTAAGTACTCCTGGGGCAGGGGTCAGCAACCCCTGGCAAGCGTGCCGAGCATGGCATGCACAGCCATTTTGCTCAGCACACCACCGCCAGCCTGGGCACTAAGCAGCTGCTGCCAGCCATGGAGCTCAGGCTGTTCCCAGCAGGTAGCTGGGAGGCTGCAAGCCATGCTGGATGCAGACCAGGCTCCATGGGCCAGCTGCAGCCAGGAGGCTGCAAACAGCTGCTCTGGGCTCTGGCATGTTGGCACTCCGGCACCTTACAAGGTAGACATTGTGGGGGGTTTTCGGCACTCTGGCCAAAAAATGTTGCCTACCCCTGCCCTAGGGGCACACGGACCCCGAATTGACAACCATTGGCTTATTGTAGAATGACATTTCGCATCCATTACATTTCTGGTTTTTAGAAATAAAGTTCTTGTATGTTGGCTCTATGCTGTGCCATACATTGCTAATCTTAGAGAGTGAGACATAAACTGAACTTAAATCCTACAGGTGCTTACAAAAAACAACATTTACATTGGTTAACTAAACAAATTAGCCACCATCTAAATCTTCCACCTAAACATAGCAATAGAGAAATATGTTTGGGATGGGGAAGAATAAACTTTGCCTCTTTTCTGTGTGTGTGAGTTCAGGGGTCTTGGACTAGTTCTGAGCCTTTTTTTCCTCCAGTGTTGGCATCTGACTTCATATGATACCCACCTGTCCATATACATTACATCCATGCCAAAGAGGGTTTTGTATCCCAATGAGCAGTAGTTAATGTGAAACAAACCCTTTATTGAATGAGTCAAAAAAATAATCCTTGTCAGAATACTCAGTTGGATACCAGTAAATTGAAGTTTGTCAGGCCTAGCTTTTTTTTTTTTTTTTCTTTTCCATTTAGCTACTCAGTTTAGAATTAAATTTTATGGAGGTTTTTATCAGAGCTTTTTGTTTTCTGAATCCTGATTTAAAAAAAAAAAAAAAAATCTGTTCAAAATTAAGTAGCTTTTTTTTTATTCCAGACAGCTTCAGATTTTGATTGCCCAGCTCAATTCCTGTAACTCAAACAAAAACACAACTTGAATAATTATTTTATATGGTATTGGTCAACTGTTCAAACCTTAAACGTCACAGCTTATAAGATGTAATCGCTTTTGGATTACTAACATTGAAGCACTTCATAATATTCCAAGCTTTACTAAATAATGGTTACATTTAAGAGCTGATCAGTGCAGTTCCTTACTGGGTACATAGAGCAGCATCTTCAAGTGTCAGAGCATAGCTCTGTTATCTGATGTTCAGGGTTAGGTTTGTGAAATAAATCTGAATTACAGTGCATTTCTAGTCATCACAGTCTTTCCAAATAAATTAACGAATGCTTTTTTTGTTTATGATCAAATTTATGGTGTAAAATCATTATCTTATGTTTTTAAATACATTAAGATGCCAGCTTTCCAAGTTCTGGAATAATTTGGAGAGCACATATTTGTCATCAGAGGAAATAGTTTTAAGATAGAACTGAAAATAATACAGCCCAATTTTCTGAAGATACCGATACAATTAGGAAAAGGGGTCAAATAAACTATAAAAATCAATAGAATGTAAGCACTGACTTCTTTTAGGACTAGTTCAAATGAGTTGTACTTGCACAGTCTGTCTTCTCTTTATAGGAATTCACCATGCATGATACAATTGGATGCTATCTAGATCTAGATAAAGGGCAAATAAAGTTTTCCAAAAATGGTAAGTTCTTTCCTTTTCTTTTT